CCCCCCCCCCCCCCCCCCCCCCCCCCCCCCTCTCTCTCTCTCTCTCTCTTTCTCTCTCTCCTTTTTCGCACTTTCGTGTAACTAAACTCAACTGAATAGACGCTACATAGTCGCAGCAGGCTCGCGTAATCGATCTCTACATCATTGATTACAGCATCGGACTTGCGGAAGCGGTTCGCCGCAACAACCGAGTTGCTTCACTGAATTTGTAGCAAACGTTTGAACTCGACTTCGAAGGTGTGCCATGTACTAGATATTTACGAATTACGTTTTTGGCAGTCGAAAGGTAATATCTTGGCACATAGGCTGTTTTCATACAACATTCAAAGACTTCGTCCGTGAAAGAGATAAAATTCCGAAAGAGAAATGTTCGCTGATAGAAGAAGTAATCTCAAGTCTCTTTCAGAATCTTCTTTTTGAAATTTTTAGATTGTCAATTAATCTCACATACAGCGTCATAAGACGTTCATTACGTTACTACGTATAGAAATAAATAGCTCGCATAAGTTGAAATCATTTTAGAATTATTATTGCGTAAAACTTACTATTCCGTTTCTTCTGCCAAACGCAATTATCGTGGCATTACTTATCATTTTCAAGCCCAATGTATGTTGCGACGAGCCGATATGTACACACTACGCGTTAGCATACACACGTTTCGTTATTTCGAGTCTGTCTGCAAGCTCGGTGCTATATAACAAGCAAAACAATAAAAATGCCACGGGTGTTAACGGCCATCGCGCGACTAAGAGGCAGCAACATAAGCATATACCGTATATTATTAAATTATACGTCGTGAGAGCGAGAAATTGGTGTGTCTACTAACCTTACACGTGTGAAGAAACCTAGAGTTAACAGGCACTGATAAATGGGTCTGCAAAATAACAAACACAAACAACCACTACAACAAAGGCAAAATAAAAAATAAATAGAAAATTAAGAGAGAGACAGACGTCGGTATAAACGCGCGTAATATCGTCCGAATTTTTCTGGCTGTCACTAAAATATACGTCCTGATATCAACAAATGGAAACAACCGTGTTAAAAAGCACGGATTTTTCTTTTTCATTAAAAATATGTCGCGCCAGTGACGCAGTTTCCTCGAGTAATTCATTTCGCGTTTACAGTAGGTATGGTTTAACGATCAGAATTATCGAGCGGGCTCGATAAATGTTATTAAATTCTATATTAATAATGTCAGGACGCATTTAGGTCACAAGTGCTTTCCATAGCGTGCTGCAAAAGTTTCATTTCGAACTTAACGCTGCATAATTGCGCGCAACATTATATCCTTGTTACGCTAACCATAGAAAATTACGCTAAAGAAAAAAGAAGTGTTTATATATTCAACTACAATGGAATTTGTACACTCCGAACATCGAAAGAGCATGCCGAGAAAAATTGCTTTTCATGAAAGATGTGCTTAAATCTTTTTCTGATTAAAGCAATGGCGTTTTCAAACATTACTGAATTAGCATGAAAGCAATCCAATTACATGCGAAATTGCTGCTAAGAATTCTTCACGTTTACGTAACATGTGAAATGTAGCGCTTCTCGCGACAGATAATATTTCTTAAATTTTCTTTTTTCACTGCGCAATCTGTATCGTTAGCTCTGTGTCAAATAAACGATCTACTTATATCTTATTTCTTGAAAGCAGCTGCAATACCTCAAGATTCTAGCGCTACTCTAATTGAAACGATCTAACACTTAAGAAAGCACAGAAAAGCACAAAGAGTGTTCTTTGCATGCAACCATCGCATCCTAATTTACATTCTCCAATAAACAAAATCGTTTTACGGAACCGAGGTAACATTTTTAGCGATTGTTTTTCTTCGAACTATACATATATTTGACTTTTAAATTTAGTCACGTTTTGTTAATTTAGATTTCAAGCATTATATACTATGCATGTATATATCACACAAGTTTTTTATCTACTGCGGATTTAGACCGAAAATGTGCTTTCCTCGATTCCGTGATTTGCTAGTGAAAATGCAAAATATCTGAATATTCGATATTGTATCGTGATGTAAACTTAATTAAATTTCTTGGAACATGACCTTAACGAATTTTTAGAAACTGGTTTTAAAAAATCCCAGAATAATTTTTTCAGGTCGGTTAAAATAATTTTCAGATATTTTGCACGTTTTACAACATTCTACGACAGCGGCTCTTAATCGAGATCTACGTATTATGATTTGGAGTATATTATATAAAACAGAAGCTCGTGCATCGAGCTCTTTAGATAAATAAATAAATTTCAGAAAAAAATGATTCGATCCGTGTCACTCGTAATTAAAAACCCGCTGCGCTATAACAGTAGGCACAATCTACAAGTAATATGGGGCCGCGAGGATATTTACTTGGACGCTTGACGGATCCTGTGAAAAGGAGAGCCTACCAGCTTGTGCCAAGCTGGTCGGACTGGACAGGTTTGTGGGACTGCTCGTTTGAGGACTCTGGAATATACCAGCGGTTCGACCATTTCAAAAAGATTTCCCGCTTTCAGTGGTAAATCCTACTTGTCTACAGCTTGTCTGTACGTAACTCGACGACTTCGCTCGTACGAGCGATAAAAAATATATATAAGATGAATGACAATTGTTGAAAAAAAAAAACAAGAGACCAATGAGAAAAACACGAATGAACAATTTCGATATCGACATCTGCCTTTTACCTACTTTAATTGAATATTCTTTCGTCGGCCACATCAATTGTAAAACGTTAAGTTAGTTAACCAATTTCAATCCGCTCAAAAGTAGAAATAGATTATTTCTTATCGGTATCGACGAAAGCTGCTCATTTAAAAAATAAATCCATTTCCTCAATAAAAAACATTTACATTATCACAATTTTTATACAAGTTTATCAGATTGTCTTTCAGCCACAGATACTAGATAATTATTATATACCTATACATATATTTAAATAGAAATATTATATAATTTAAAGTCAATGAATTTTTTAGATAAAATCCTGACTCATTAAAAAGTTGTTTAAGTAAAATGTTTTAAATATCAATTTTTTATTCGTCACACAGTAATCTGAGTTAAAAGAAAAGTTTAACTCTAATTGATATTTTGTACGTCTAAAGGCTAACTGGTAAAATATTTTAGAGATCAGGAGACGCGGTAGCGTCTCCGGCCATGTTCAAAAACTGTAAGACACTACAAGTCTCTTATCCCGAGCCATCAAAGTCCATTTTTATCATATCAGGGTTGCCACAAAAAATAAATTTTAAAATTCTCTGACTTTTCCAGGTTTTCCAGATGGAAATGGGAAATTTTCCATGATTATAATATCTAAAATATATAAATTTTAACATTTATATAAAATCAAAGATTGTAAGAAAGCTCTAGCCTATATTATTAAAAACAATACAAAAAACGCAAAAAACAATATAAAAAAACTTAGCATAATGAAATTTTGAATGCAAATTCAAGCTAACAAAAAATAAATTAGTATTGGAAAAAAGCATAAAGTTATAATTTAAGAAGAAAAAGGGCTATCAAATAAAAACACTGAACTAACTATAAATTTTAATTTTTTCCATTAAAATCGTTTAAAGTGCGTGGAATTTGCGTGAACGTGCATTTGACTATAAACATCAGATATAATATTTAAAAAATTATAACAATCATTTGGAATAAAAACAGTTTAAGGGAATTGTGAGCAAAAATTAAAAAATTCAGCCTTTTTTATATCTTCTCCTGACTTTCCCCGGTTTCCATGATTAACTTCAATTTTCCTGACTTTTTCTGATTTTCTCGATTTTTCGCAGGTCTGTGTGGCAACCCTGCATATAGACCGGATTAAATTATCCATTGAATAGTAATGAATAACATCAATTATATTTATAGAATTTATTGACGATTGTACATTTGCGAGCAATAAACAAAATTGTATTTCGTTTTTCACTTAATACGTGCAAAATCGTTTAGAGAAACATATCTGATAGCGCAAGACAATAATAAATTTATCGTAACATGACATTCAAAGTATTATTTAAAATTCTATAATTTTGAATACCATTTTGCAGACATTTTTTTCCGAGGACAGGTGAGAGAATAAAAGTATTAAAAAAAAAAATGAAACGTCGCTGTAAAGCGATTAAGACTCGTTCAGAAACGTGCAGCCTCGCGAAAAGTGCATGTAAGATCAAGAGAAAAGAAAAGAGAAAATATTATCATAATCGATGTACGATAATCAATTGAACAACTTACATTGCTGAACGGCGTACTACTAGAATGATCCTCTTGGTCTAGAGGAGTGTGGAGTGGCGACGGAAAGTGTACGTTGCTCAAGTCGGGCAACGATCCCGTGTTGTTGCCTATAGGTATTTGCTGTCCCGGTGGTTGCGAGCTCGGGTATATACTGAACAAAAAAGTTCACCAAAATTGTAACTAACTCAATTAATTCGCAACGCAATCAAATGAAAGTTTTTATTGGATGTAATTCCACCGCTCAGTGCAAAAGTCATAAAACTGAATCGTAAAACACAAACTGAAAAAGGTCACATATTTTTCGAACTTTTCTCTGTTCACACGAAAACGCTAATTTTTTAAAACGTGTACTATTGATTTCTTATCATTCGACAGTACGTACTTAATCCCAGGCACTCTAGGCATTTCGCACGAAGATCTTGGTCGTTCGATGAAACCATGGTGAGAATCTCTGTTGTCGCTTCCGCTTCCGGTCATAGCGTGTTGATCTGTTAATTATAGAATACGCGATTTATCAAATTTCGAAATTGCACATAGCGTTGTAAAAACTACTAATATATATTCGTTAACGTTTTATTCCAGACAATACTTTGCTTCCTATGTTGTTGCGCAATGCTGAATATAAAACGATCATTTTGATATAGCATCTTTCGTTACGGTTGTACAGAATGCATGAAGTTTCTCAAACTGGTTATCCGATTTCTCCGGAGCAACGTACATAATACCGCCTACTAACGTTACTATCGTATAACGTTTCATATATGCTTCGTTGTACACTGATCTCTAGCACGACATCGCTCTGCAAAGTTTCGTGATTTGACGCGATCTAAGGATAATTTATATCAAAACGGTACCGTGTTATATTACTACGAAGACTTTCCATATCACATCGGTACGAAGACTTTGCGAACTTATCTTGAGAGAGGATCGATTCCTTGTTTAAACTATATATGAACTTTATAATCGGCGTATAGTAAAAGCATCTAATTAGTTTCGCGAATGCTGCAAGATGCAAAACCGCGAGAATTCTAGATTCATATAGTTTGGAGTCGTGAAAGCCTTTAACAGGTAGTCTATAAGCCGCATGCACTTCAGAGGCGAGCGTGCAAGATCTGAGAGATCAATCTCTTTGTAAAATACTCTAGGTAACCACTTATAAGGGAACGAAGCGGTGTCGCGATATAATGAGGTAACGAGGCAATATGGTAATGACGGAATTTCCGAGCTGGGCTGATTCGTGAAATCGCGTCAAAAGTCAAAGAAGCAACTTCGCGAAGAGTATTTTATATAGAATGAACTCATTAATATAACGGTCGAACGACGCTGAAAAACTGTGTCATTCACCATTTATGCGAATACTCGATCATGCTCGAATTGTTAAACGTCGAGGGAATAAAAACACGATTTCATTTTCACGCAAAATAAATCACGTAAACTGCACAACGTATCATTTTAGCCTCGTTTAAATTATTAACGGTTGACGAAATAATGTTTGCGTGTGAAATGGTGAGTTTTATGCAAGATGTTTAATTAATCGCCCTTGTCATTATGATGGATCTTGATGATCAACTGCATTAGGAGAAATACGCTTTTAAAATATGTAATATTTATAATAAAAGGAGAGTTTAAATAGTTTAAACACATAGCTCAACATTATACTCGATATGAATTGGATTAAATAGTTCTGTTTTTTTATTTATAATAAAGATACTCGAGAAAACACAACTATAGATTATTAATATTAATTCCAAGGCATTAATCTGGGAAAAATTTCTGATTAAAAATGGACGTACCAGACTTTTCTAATTATATCAATGAAAATGTTAGTCGAAATAACCAGATAGCGTCCAATTATGATGATCAGAATTCTAATTAATGTGAACAGAAGTTTTTGGTTCGTCCATTTTTAACCAGAAACTGTTCTCAGTGCGTGGATAACAGCACGTAGCAAGCGCTTCGACGAAACCTTGCATTACGTAAGGTCCCATGTACTATATTTCAGTACCGCAGTCTTTCACGCAGCATCCGTCGTTGAGAGAAAGCGCGTGTCGCGGGTCATCCGGAATGTACTGGTCGAAACAGGTTTACCTATTCTAAATAAAAAGAGAGGAGAAAAATAGACATCGCTACCTCGTCGATGAGGTATGGCGGAGGTTGATTGGCAAGCCTCGTTGGCGCTCTGATGCAAAGCGGAGTCCGAGTTCGTTCTTCGCCAGGTATCCGGTGGCGGTGGCGACAGGTAAGGCACGCCGCTATACGGAGACGTATCGTGCCTTTTCTCCATCGGGCGAGATCGCATAGGGCCAACCCCCATGCTTCGGCTTCTGTTGTCGCTACGGTACATGGCGTTATGCTGCATCTCCTCCAGATTGCTGAGCGCCGTCTGGAAAAAATGCACGAATCCTTCTTGAGGATTACAATTGGCATTGCGGCGGTTGGTGTAACAGCGTGCAAAGATTGTACAATATATATAAATTAACGATAAGAGAAACGTTTGCGAATTGTGTGCGGTAACGAGCAATAGTGTGCCTTTATTATGCAGTAACTTTTTGTGCAACTACATCAAAACAGTTTTTTGGAGTATCTAAACCTAAATACAGAGATCTGAAAATAATTTTATTAGACTATCAAATTAATTATATAGACGCTCAAGTCAGTTTCTTACATGTTTATCTTTATTTTAATAGTATAATTATTGTGAGAATATATTTTTATAACTCAAAAATACATACATATATAAAAAGAACAATTTTGTTGAAGCATCTAAAATTCTATAGCTAAACATAGATTTGAAAATAACTTTTTTGCCTTCAAAATAATTACGTAAGAATCTCAAGTATAATAAGCAAAAAAAGTTTTAACATTTTATCAATTAGTTGAAATGTCCTACATAATTATTTTGATGGTTTAATCAAATTATATATTTTTTCAGATTTATATTTAGCTAAATTTTTAGATACTTCAAAATCGTTCTTTCCTTGCGGTTTATAATATTATCGCAATCAGTAAGTACATACATATACTGTATGTTGTATGAGATAAATGTCTTTTCTTGAAATTTTAATGCGATAAAATAATATTAGATCCTTGTTCGTGAGAGAAAAACGATCGTGAGCGCTGCTCGTGTCGTCGCGCGAGCTCGAATCACCGATTCGATTTTCGAGCCAAATAAAAATCGAGCAGAACGACTGTAGAGATATCAATGCTCCGGGAAACGAGCAGCAGCGATAATTAACGAGCACTGTGAGTCACGTCACTGATAAAATAGAATTCCAACGACGAATTACGTTACTCCAAATTATACAGTGCACCTGAGAGGAATCATTACGAAGACACATTCACGTGCTTTAACGTGAGAGGGAGTCGAGGTCGAAGCGAAATAATTCGCTTCTACCTACGTGCTACGGTGGCAAAACCCGGTCTCTGAACTCTCCTACCACCGACGAACCATTCAACCGACGACGGCGCAGAATTTTCTCACTTCGCGAATCTCGCCTCATAAAACGTCTGGTCTGCTTTATGACCAGCCATCGTCGTCGACGTTATGAGTGGCGATTAAAACGACGTAAAGAAATTTAATACGGGTGTTTGGATAGCCTGGATACCCATAGAAATCCCATTTAGGTTTTCATTTATAGTGTTTCAATTGAAAAAATTCGTACCGCGTTATACAAGAAAATTCAACGCGTCTGAACTTCATCGATATCTCGCGTTTTTCACTGTAGCATAAATTTTATCTCGCAATCTATCGAATACTTTATCACCTCGCTGCTTTCTATCGTGGCTATTTTTACTGCGTATTTGATTACCTAGTTTTTCAGCGAATAGTTACAACATCCTTTCCTTACGCTTCTCGTTTGAGACACAGGGAGATGTGTAACAAGGACCACTTCTCAGAAGCAATATCTCGCTGCTTTACATCTCAGGAAAAGAAAGCATTCTACAAAGACGCTAACTCGATCAGATAACACTGTGTTTTCCTTTTTATAAGAAAGTCCAGCTGAAAATTATTTGCGATATTTTCTACTTCTACATCTTATAATCGTTTTATCGACGGTGAAATTGTTCTTTAATTCTAAACTCTTTGTATTTACATATTCATCTCTTACGATCTTACACAGATATACAATACAAAAAGCAACAAACTTAATCGACAATAACCATTAATAACAACGATGTTTAGGTTAATTCAAAGTGCGAGAGAGCTTTTCTATGAGACACATATTGTTGAAAAAAATTCCCCTGTTAAATTCCCATAAGAAAATAAACGCCAATCTAACGGGGATGAAACGATCTCGTGGGATTTTGAACTTCCTGCATGCGCGGCGAGAGTGTGAATCTAATAAAGAAATCTGCTCCCGCTGCGTTAGTCGACATGTGTTGGACGAACGTGGGTCGCACAGCTATTACCTAATATCTGTTGAATTATGCGATAAACACGGAACGTCTCTCCCACGATTACAGACAAATCGTGGACGATCGCGCGTATCATCCGCTCGTTAATCATACGACAGTATCAGTTTCGAAAGACGTTTCGACATCATACTTCAAGTGGATGCGCCAGCAAAACATTTAACGTAACACAACACTTTATTTCGATAATGATGTCAATATTGAAACAGCTATGCCTCAGTTTCCCGTAATCCAAATCCATTATTAAAATGCCAATGTTTCGTGAACATTGCAGTTCATTATCAGGACGAGGAGCGGTGTTATCTGGTACTAAAGTATATAACCTAAAAAGCATTTATTCACTTCAACGTATAACTGTATACAACAACCAAGAAAGGGATTTGGTTTACAAAACTATCCTCAAACCCACTCATGATCCATCCGTACCTCCCACGTGCGCTTTACTTGTACGTAAACTTACAATATCCTATCACTTATCTTTCTATTCACTCTTAACCGTTCCTCTTTCCTTTCCTTTGACTTAACTTTTTCTATCTCTCTCATTCTATTATTCACATTCTAATATTATACACTTCCAGCTACTATTGCGTATCTTTGTATATTAGACTATCACTGAATTCTATATTATGTGACATTTCTGCAGATTAATTTCTCGTTTAATCCATCCACAATTCAGCCCTGTATATATTTTTGAAGTAATTATAGACAAAAAGCGTCTATGATTGCGCGTCTCGTTCATTACGAGAAACCTTTGATTCTCATACTCGCCGTGGCGAGTAGATGTTGCGATATTTATATGCGACGCAACACAGTTCCACGTAGTTGGAATTGTCGGTGACGTAACAGCTTAACCACGCGCGTAAGCACGCGTGTGATAACTCCCGCGATAGGTTTTATCGAAACGTATTTTGAGGAAGCTAGCGCCGCGATACCAAGTTTTAACGACCGGATCATCACTACGCTACGTTACCCCATTTGCATAATGTAATATGCAGAACGTATCGGCGTCTGGTATAGTGACGATGCAAGAATAGCTCCACCGCGACTTTTTTTTACGTCGCATACACGAGCAGCGAACACACAGACGTAACAGCGCGTGTACGTGTTCGGGATATTCGTCGCGTCCGCGCGTATGATGATAGTAGATGTTAACATATTCCGCCGCGCATCGTAGTGGACGCTCGCTCCGGCCACGCCGGACTTTATATAAAGCCTTTGTTAGGATAAAACCCCCCCGTCCAGAAATTATAAATAACGATGTTATAAGCAGCCACAAAATGCTATTAACTTGTATGATTTATGACAACGATCGCGCTGCGACACGAATCGATAAAGAAGAAGAGGGCTACTTATATTTTAACAAAACTAAAACAAACGATTTCTTTGTTAATTAAATCTGGAAAGAGTGCATCAGAACTCTCTTTCTTTTTTGAACTGCCGTGACGAAGTCTCTGCTAATCTCTGCTATAATTTTTCTTTTAAACGATGCTGGGAAAATACGAAAATGCTAAACGCGTCGAATTGCTTTGTGCACTCCTCGAGGGAAAAAATTAAAATCTTACTAATTATATGAAAAATGTGGAAATCAAGTAGTAACTCTATACGCGGGTCGACGTCTCCATTCACAACTTTCCCAATGTCAGGGCCGTGGGCGTCGCACGAGACGGCGCGACGCGGCGCATCGACCAAGCCGCGCTGGTTGAAGAACCATACCTTCAATTAATGTCGACGCTAATAAAAGGCATGTCCGTGTCCTCGCGAACCATATTTACCACATTCGTCATATTTGCCTGAAAATTAGACGAGAATAATCAACCGCCTTTGTGCAGGTCAATTCGCTCTTTCCCTCGACGACGAAAGAGACAGTGTACAAACAACGTTAGCGTTCTTTTAGACGGTTTTCTTGTTGAATGCCGCATATTTCTCGATTATAAAATACATTGTTATCCTAGTCTAGAATTGAGTGACCCATTTGAAGACAATGTGAGGCGACTAAAGCCGTTTATCATTTACTGCAGCTCTGCCAGAGCGGCTCTGGCTGTTTTCATATACATATCTTCATGTACTTCTCTCTCTCTCTCTCTCTCTCTCTCTCTCTCTCTCTCTCTCTCTCTCTCTCTCTCTCAATAAGTTTCAATAGATTAGAGAATACGCAGTAAAGCTCACCGTCACTACTGTTCGCGGCGTGTCGACACGTGCCGGTAATCAAAATGAACACACGCGACAGCAACTCGCTCCTTACCTGCATTTCCTGACACGAGGCCAATATTAGTCTTGCGAGAGCAACGTGTGACGGATGCAATGCACATTGAGGGTTACAAGGCAGCGATCGATGTTACATACATACGCCGCCAGCCGATTCCCTCCTGTGTTTCATGTCTCGCCACGAAGAGACCAGAATGTAATTACTGCGCTATCCATATTCAAGAATGAGATTACCAGAGAGTGGGCCTGTCAAAGTAGACGGCACACACGTGCGCCTGCAACATATCGTTCATCCAATCGCGGAATGCAGAGAGCACTATGGTGTACGTCCCGGCTACTCTATCTCGATTTTAAATTTATTCCGATCCTAACCTTGTGATACGACAGAATAGAAAGACATGAAAAAGATCCTATCCGAATAATAATGAAAGAGTTCAAACTTCAAAATATTTTTTTCAGATTTTTACAAACAAACCACCCAAAAGATAGCTCGTTTGTGTTATTCACATGGAAATCCAGCTCTGATCTCGGACCTCTCATGCAAAGCAAAACAAGTTTTCAACGCGGAACTTTGCAACTTTCTACTAATCATTTATATCTTTTAGTCGTTTTATTGTAACTTTCTATTATCCATTTGCGACTTATACTTGTGCCCACATTGATCTATCTTTTCTCTCGTTGAAAAATACTACATAAATATTTATATACAAAGAAGAGATATATTTAAACATGTGTCTCGTTTAACATTTCATCTAAATTTATCCA